CTCTCTCTCTCTCTCTCTCTCTCTCTCTCTCTCTCTCTCCCTGTCCCCTTTCTGTCCTCAGTCCTTTTGTCTCTGTCCTTGGCTTCCCTGTCTCTCTCTTTGTGACTCTGCTTCTTCCCACCTCGTGTCTGTCTGTGTCTGTGTGTCTCTTCCATCCCTCAGCATCTCCCTCTGCGCCCTGCTCCTCGGCATCCCTCCGCCCTCCTCCTCCTCCTGGCCGGCGACTCCCGGTTCTCCTGTGGGAACTTGCCGGAGACCCGGCGCGCCCGGACCTGCCTCCGCCCCCAGAAGCCCCCGAGCCAGCCCGGGCCTGTACCTTTAAGAGCCGGCGGCGGGGGCGGGGTCTCCGCCAGCCCCGCCCCTCCCGCCCCTCCCCCTGACGTCCCTTCCTCCCCGGCCCCTCGGTCGCCTCCCTCTGCCGCCGCCCCGGGCCGGCTCCGCGCCCCCTCCCCGGCCCCCGCCCGTGCACCCCTCCCGCTTGCCCGTCGCCCAGATGGCGCCCCGGGTTCCCTTTGCACGGGGCCGCTAGGACCCCCGGCGCCGCCTCCCCTCCCCCGTCCTGCCCTCGCTCGCTCGCTCTCCTCTCCGCTCGCTCGCTCAGCGAGGACTCGGGCGTCCACGGCGCCCAGCTTTTCTGAGCTCGCGTCCCCAGGTCGGCTGGGGGGGGAGGGGAAGAGAGGGGACCCCGCGATCCCCACCCCCCCCACCCGGCCGCCCCTGTCCCCTTCCCTCTTGGGACCCCCGGAGAAGATGTCTTCGAGGACGGCGCTCGCCCCGGGCAACGATCGGAACTCGGACACGGTGAGTGGGGCCCAGCCCCTCGGGGGGACCTTGCTCGGGTCCAGCCCCGGAACCCCTCACCCCGCCGGGGCAGCGGCCCGGCCGGCGCTCACCCCCTTCCCGGGCTCCGCAGCCCCCACCGACGTTGCCCATGACTTTGAGGCCTCCCGGCTCCCTCCTCCCCGCAGCCCCGGCCCAGCCCGACCCCTAGGGGCGCCCCTGTCTTTGGACCCTTCTCTTGTCCCTCTGCAGAGCGCTTCCGCCCCGTCCCTTCCCTCCAGGAAGCCCCCTCCCCTGCCCG